CTCTTATCTGCTCGCCGGCCATTCAAAACGTATAGCTCAAACCCTCGATACCCGTTGTTTTCGTTTTCGGTTGTGCCCCCTCGGGGGTATATATCTTGCTTACGTGCAACGTGTACTTCGTGCAGCCCCTAAGGCAGGGGAACAGAGGACAGATGGAAGGAAAGGACTGAGGGAAGGGAGGAAGATGGAGCACGAGAGAGAGTAGCAGGAGGGGGGTTAGGAGGAGAAAACACGTGGCAGAACCAGACGGGCAGATCGGGCGGGTAGACCTTAACGAGCGGGTCGGGAAGCAGGCCCATGCGGCCAGGTCGAGCAGGCGAGTAGCTAAAGCATGCGTCCTATATGACTAGTGAGGAAGTGTCGAGCCAGAGCACGATGCCCAAATAAATCGTCAGGAAATTAAGAGCGAGAGCGTGATTCCTGAGTGTCGAGAGCGCGGCATTTGAATAGATGGCTATGAAGCCCCACGCGAGAGCGCGATTCCTGTATAAATTATGAAGACATACCGTGCGAGAGCGCGCTTTTGGAATACATTGTGAGGATGTATCAGGCGGGAGCCGTTGTTGTTGTACGGGCCCAACAACGCAGTTTGGTGACCCCTCGCTTTCCCTTGGTGCGAGCCCCGGGAGAAGCACGTTAATTGAAAAATAGGATGGTTACCGGGCAGGGGCGATCATTAATAATTATTGTTAAGGCCCTACGGCCGGTGCCGCCGACCCTGGAGGCCTCGGCCCTCGACGGAAATGGGATGGAGAAGGCGGGCCATGGGCTCCGGGAGGGTGGTATTCTGACCCGGGACCCCCCCTGGGACCCCTTTCCGGGACCCCCCCCTTCGAGTAAATACCGACGTTGTTCAGATTGGCTTCCCCTCCGCGTCGCGGCCGCTCCACTCCCCCGAAAAGAGCCGCCCGAGTGCCCCCCCCCGGGGCATCCGAGCGGGACCCCCCCCCCCTTCCTTTCCCCCCGGGGGGAAGGGATAAAAGGGAAGGGGCTTCCCCTCGAGTGAGCTACGACTTTGCTCAGATTGGCTTCCCCCCCCGTGTCGCGGCTGCTCCCCTCCGCGTCGCGGCCGCTCCCTCCCCCGAAGGGAGCCGCCCGGGTCCCCCCCCCCCCCGCGCATCCGAGTGCGACCCCCTCCCTCGGAGAGGGGGGGATGAAAGGGAAAGGGCTTCCCTTCGAGTAAGCTACGACGTTGCTCAGATTCGCTTCCCCCCCGTGTCCGGCGGGGGAGCGGATTGGCTTCCCCCCCGTGTCGCGGCCGCTCCCCTCCGCGTCGCGGCCGCTCCCTTCTCCCAAAGGGAGCCAGCCGCCTGTGTGCCCCGCCTCCCGCGCATCCGGGTGTGACCCCCCCCCCTCCGCCACCCCACCCCCCCTTCGGATAGAAGGGATAAAAGGGAAAGGGCTTCCTTTCGAGTAAGCTACGACGTACGTTGCTCAGATTGGCTTCCCCTGTGTCCGGGGGGGAGCGGATTGGCTTCCCCCCCGGGTCGCGTCCGCTCCCCTCCGCGTCGCGGCCGCTCGCTTCTCCCAAAGGGAGCCAGCCGCCCGTGTGCCCCCCCTCCCGCGTATCCGGGTGTGACCCCCCCTCCACACCCCCCACCCCACCCCACCCCCCTTTGGGGGGGAAGCGATGAAAGGGAAAGGGCTTCCCTTCGAGTGAGCTACGACGTTTCTCAGATTGGCTTCCCCCCCGTGGCCGGGGGGGGGGGGCAGATTGGCTTCCCCCCCGGGTCGCGGCCGCTCCCCTCGCCCGGGGAGATTCGACCACTCCCCCTCTTGGCTTGGAGCCGACGTGGCGGTGTCGTGGGCAGCTCCCCTCCCCCTGGCAGGGGTGATCATCAACAAATGTTCCTTAGAAACGAGAAGCCAACAACAACAACAACAACAACAACAGCAGCAACAGCAGCAACAACAACAACCACAACCACAACAACAACAACAACAACAACAACAACAATTACTAGCACGTGGGGACACTCCGTTCTCACCAGTGCCAGGGTTTTCATAGGAGGCGGGCAATACCCCCACTTTGTGGGGGGGCCGGTTCAAGCTCTACCAAATTTCCAAACGACTCTTCGCCACCACCCACACCCAGCTTCCCGCCCTATGACGTTCGGACACTTCACTTCGTGGCATGCGGACGACCGTGGCTACTATTCAGGGCCCCGCGGCCGACGACGACGGCGTGCGCGCGCGAAGAAAAAACGAATGTGTCCCGCATGGTATTATTTGACAGGGATGATGGCCCTGGCAGGTGCGCAACCGTTGTTGCAGAAGTTCGAAAAAGTTGCTCGCAAAAGCCCGTTTGACAGAAATGTTTAAAAAGTGTTGGGTTTCCTACGAATCCGCAAGAGCGCGCGGGATGAGATTTTGACATTTTTTTGTTGAAAAACCATTAGTTTTTTGATGTTTTTATGTTGAAATCGCTCCGAACACTAAGCTTTTGGAAGGATTTCGTCTTGCGCGCGCGAATGTCCACTTTACCTTATTTTTTGCAAAGGATTCTTGAAATTTGATTATATTAGAACAAGAAATGTCATTTTATAGTGTTTTTTGCAAGGGAAAGCGGGGGGGAACAAAACAACCGGATCTTGATCACATCGAATTACCTGAGGCTTCCTCACGAAAATGATGAAAATGTAGCTGCGGCCTAGGCGGCGCAGGGGGGCCGTGCACCAGGGGTCCCAACAATAATTATTCTTTAGAATTAATAATGTTCAACTGAAACCGCAACAGCAACAGCAACAACAACAACAAGAACAACAGCAACAACAACAAGAACAACCACAACAACAACCATAACCACAACCACAACCACAACCGCAACAATAACAGCAACAGTAACAGCAACAACAACAAGAACAAGAACAAGAACAACCACAACAACACCACAACAACAACAGCAACAAACAACAACAACAACGAGGAGCATGCAGTGAAACATCGAGGGGGGAAGCCGTCAAACCGAAACCCGGGATCAGCCTGAGCAAACCCACGTGTGCGCAGACATGGTGCTGGATTCGCCAGCTCACGGCGAGCCACCGCCGCCCCCTGCCCTCGTGAGAGTTCCTCCGTGCCGATGGCCCGCCCCGCCCAGGCGCGTGCGGATTCGCCATCGACGGCCTGTCGCCTATCTCTCGGCGGCGTAACTCGCTGACTGCAGCGCGACGTTTCTTCCCGGAGCTGGTGCAACTCACACCGCCGCCCACTACTGCTATATGCGGTGGTTGCATCCCGGCGCACGTGCACTCAGCATAGGCACGTCTTCTGCGTGAATTTTCCCTGGCTTTCTATGCTGTAATTTGTTTTGCCGATGCGCCGTCTAGGTGCGGCTTTTCTTCCGTCAGCGAGAGGGGCGACGGGGGGACCGCCCTCAGACGACCAAAGAGCCTCCCAGAGGGCCTCCCAAGGCCCCCCAGGAGGCCCAGGGAAGCCCTCCGAGGGGCCTCCACGAGGCCTCCTCCTGCCACCACCAGGAGCCTCCCAGGAGCTCCCCAAGCGTGCCTCGAGAGGCTCCCAGGAGTCGACCCGCCATGGCCCAGCCGTCGCCGACAGGGCCCACGGGGCCCACCCCGCCCAGGACCCGTGCGGTTTCGTGTTCGCTCGCGGGGGCTCGTCGTCGAGCGGTCGGGCGAGGCACCGCCGAGTCCGAGGCAGCGGCACCGCGCGGACTTGTGGTTTTGGTTTTGCCCTCGGCGAGGACTCTCGGGGAGCATCCCCGGGGATCGCCCGGCCCCAAAACACACGAGCACGCACGAGGTCGAGACAGGCACGGGGACTGGGCGTGCGAGCGATGGCGAGGCTCCCGCAGAATGGTAGCTATACGCTGGCCTGGCTGGGCCCGCAGCGACCCAGAAGCGACCGCCAGGATCCCTCGTCGAGCGTCAGGTGCAGCAGCCCCCCAGGGGAGCGGCCTGCCGCGAGCAAGATGTGACTCCTCTTCCTCCTCCTCCCCCTCCTCCTCCTCTTCCTCCTCCTCTTCCTCCTCTTCCCCCTCCTCCTCCTCCTCCTCCTCCTCCTCCTCCTCCTCCTCCTCCTCCTCCTCCTCCTCCTCCTCCTCCTCCTCCTCCTCCTAGACCCTGCCCCTCGCTTTGGCCTGGGGACCGGGCGCAGCCGAAGCGAAGGGGCGGGGACCTGAGCCCGGGGCCCGCGGGGGGGGGGGCGGCGGCGCGCGTCGACCCGACGGTCGCCCAGAGGGCGGCCTTCCGAGCAGCCTCAGAGGCAGCCGGGGGCGTCATGGGAAGGCCTTTGCCTCCTAAGAGTAAGTCGGGCCTGTCCCTCGACAGGGGGAATTCTCCAAGATAGTCCAAACCCAGTCTGGGGACGATCTTGCTTGACCATTTTGGAGTGCTTGTTTTGCATGTATTCGGGTATTTTTCGCTTTCGCCCAAAAAGCCCCCTGTATGGGGGGACAGGCCCCACCTCATTCTAAACCTCCCCCTCGCGCCCTCCCAGTGCGCTGCCCCCCTCGCGCCACCCCTCCGTGGGCGACACGCCGGCATTCCGCGCTCCCATCGCGGGCATTCTCGGCCAGAGCGCCTGCCTGCGGCAGGTTCGCGCGGCGTCGACCGGCGGCGACCAATCCGCTGGCGTTCCGCGCTGGACGCCGCTGGCGACCCAGAATCGGTCGACGATCTGACGTTTCGGAAGCGGCCGATCGTTCAAGGCTGAACGATCCCCAGAACGTCAGGCACCAACGCCAGGGTCGGCACGACGCGAAGCCGCGGTAATTAGGCGTTCGGCTGTCGCCGAGGGTCAGCATTTCAAGGCGCCCTCTGCTGCTGCGCTTTCAGCGCTGGAAACCACGACCATCGCGGATCGGGACCTGGGTGCCCCACCCCACCCGGGGAATGTGCGATTTCGGTATCGAGGACACGTCGCCGATTTGTCGGCGAGGCGTCGTCGATTCCAAATCAATATTTTCCCCCCCACCGCCTGACCCAGTCCCCCCCCCCAACGGTCCCCCTCAGAGAGTGGAATCGGCAGGGAGAGACCGAGGG